TAAGCTCTAGCAGTTTTCAGAATGTAGGAGCTGCTTTGAGTGCTTTTTTAAAGAACAAAAATACATATACCGTACTTTTTGTTGTTTGGTTTTGTTTTTGGTGGGGTAGAGACACTGTTTGCTACAATTTGAACAGAAGTCGTCACTACAACACGTTGCAGAAATGTAAATATGAGAAGTTTACTGAAGTTGCAAGTACATAAACAACAGCGACATTTTACCAGATTCAGAACCACGCAGGAGTCTACACTCAAGGCCTTGTATGCCATTACACTTCAGATTGATAAAGTAAAGTGTTTACTTTTGGTTTGCTTCAAACGTTTTGTATTCATATTTATTAAACATTTTTAAAATGGCAGTTTTATTACATTTGACTAAGTGTGCAGCGTTATGTGACCATGTGGTAGTGTCAACAAAAAATAGGGCCCTTCCATCATATAAGTTGCTGTTTCCTGGTCTAGTTTATTGACTCTGATCCAGTTAAAAGTTTGATGTATAGTTTTTGACATGCAACATTTCACAGGTTTGTTTTAAAGTAAATTTAAAAGCAGCTCACAATTTAATGACAAAACTATTGCAACTACAGTGTACTAAAAAAATAAAAAAATAATGATCTGCATATTTATTTCTAACAACAACACACTAATTTATTCCATGTCTGAATTTCACTCATTACTTTTGACTTACAACTGTAGTTCAGGACAGCGTGAGCAACTTTCTACATACTTTCCAGTTCACACCAGCAAGGCTTGGACATYTCTAAACAACAAACACTATACCTTGGTGATTGTTGACAGGCTGCGCTCCTTGGTCTGCCAGAAAAACTAAATCAGGGTTTGTATTAATGCTGTACACTCACGCAAGGCCTACATGAATAATTTACAACAGGCCAGAATGGGAGTAATGACTTTAATGTGTGCATTATTTTCATTCTCTTTGTCCCTTTAACTCCTTGTTTTCCTCGCAGATGAAAAAGGTCGGGTCTCTGGCTTGTTTGTCTGCTCTGTTATCTGAAGCCTGTAATGTACGCAGTAAATTTCAAACAACCCAAACAAAGATAAACGCAGAGGCCGGGGTCCCAGAGGTGGCTGCCACTGTTTAGCATCGCCCCGTCAAATGAAGGGTGTCTATCTAATCAGCCATCTGATGAGGCCATCTCTGGGGAGCTTACTAATAACAGTCAGGTCAGAGCTTAAAATACTGCCAGAAACACGAGGGGGACGAATTCATCATCTGTTAAAACAAACAACAAAACATCTGTAACATGTGAAATATCTGAATAAATAAATCAGTTTGTTTGTAAGAGCATACATTCTGCTCTGTTTCTTTTTATATCATACTTTAGCTTTCATACAAACATTAATGTTGTTAGAAATTAAATAAGAAAATAAAGTTCTGATAAATATAAAGTTTAAAAGAAATCGGATTATCTAGATTACTTTCAGATCTGGAGACAATTTACTATCAGTAATACAAAAAAAAGAACAATTCAAAAATAAGTCAAGATGGCCGGATATGTGGTAAATTTGTTTTTGTATGTCTTTTATTTATAGTGTTTATCTTTCCTGGTGCCACATCAGTGGTTGCATCAGACCAAAAGGGGGAAGAAAAAGTGCAGCTTTATTCTACTGGGAATCTAATTTAGCTCAAGACTTAAAAGGGCCTCGGGTGTTTCTGGATATTTACATAGAGCTTTTCTGGTGAACTAGATCTAAGATCCCCCCAACAAGCCCTTCTGTCCAACCACGCTGTGCTTCAAACGGAGAAACAAAAATAAAGACCTGCTCTTTCAAAACAGGAATATTAGATTACTGTTGGAGTACTGCATTATTATTATCTCCTGTTTTTGAGAGGGTAAAGACAGACAGCTTGTTTGAATGTCATGAACTAGACAGCACTGCGAGGAACATTTCTAGGTCTTAGGATTCAGAGCCTTGAGCAGATTTCCTTTCTTACAGCTCGCACAGTACAAATCTCTCTGAAACAAGGGTGTCTGAGTGATCTGTCAAAAGCAAATGTCAATCTTTTTTGTCATCCACACTCGAGGTTCTCGCTTGCAAATGTCCCGGAGGGCAAATGAATCTCAGCCCACCACTTTCTTTTTCTCATCCTGCAGCTACACTGTCACCAAAGCCAGGGAGGAAGTGTCACATCAAGCCGCTATGTCTCTGACAACAGGGGAGGGAAGGAAAAAAAAGAAAGAGAAGCACTATTTACACAAACAAACTGACATGCAGACACACACATACAGATCGTGCCCTTGCAGATTCCCATAAATATCCTACAAGATGCAACTTTTCTCCCCCACAAGCTACAAAACCCTCTCTCTGCTTCTTCAGTCCTGCTGTCAGACAGGTGCCCACGCAGCTGCCCATCAGCATCCTTCAGCGTAGCAGCCTGTCTGTTCAACGACAACATGCTGTCCTAACTCAGTGCTCAGTTTATACAGTCAAATAATGCACGGAGCCAATTAAGGCCAAGTTTTCTACTGTAATAAGAACGTTTCAGCACCACGTGAATGCATATCTGTTGCACAAAGCAGTTCGATCCATATAATCGACGATTTAGGCAAGAATTTTCTAATAAATAAAAATCTTGTATAAGCAGAAACTTCACACAATTACAACCACCAGAGAGTTCAAAGTTTGTGAGCGCATTACCATCAAACCACAGAGGAAAGTATGTGTGTGGCTTAGGAAGGGGGATGTCTGTATATAGAGTAAAAAAAATAAAAAACAACCTACAAACATTTAAATGTTTGCAATCACCAGCTGGCCTGTTTAGATAGTCTTCACATCCTGGTGCAGAGCAGTGTCAAAACCTAAATGCACAGAGGATGTGCTCCTGTAAATATTTTGATTCAGCTCCATCATGTCGTGTACACACACACACACACATCATGCTTGGTTCTGCAACTTGCATTGCACATCTGATTTAAAACTACAAAATTTTATTTTTAGACCGGGAAGTGAGAATACAAGCTGGAGTTAAAAAGGGGGGGATTTGAGAATAAAAATAAATAAATAAATAAGAATATTCCCAGCAGTAGACATAATGATAGAAGCTCTGTGTTGATCTATTTTTTTTAATCATGCAGGTATTCAGGTCTCTGGTGGGGCCCTCCAGTTTGCTTACACAAGCAAAAGCTTTTCAGCGGCATCTGCAGCTGCATTCATGCTTTACAGGTACGCTGCAGGCTCCTTACACAGCTGCCTCTGGCACAGCAGATCAGGCTCCAGGTGCGCCTTCCCCTCGACACTTCTTCAACATCACCTTCGCTGCTTTATATATCGCTGCCGGCAATACAAACACAGATTATGTCTGATAACTAACCTCAGGCACACAGTTTCTGCTCAAATGCCTCACCTTTACTTCCTGTGGCTGTAATACTGAAAAATGTCTCACCGAGGAGCTGCTAGGTCGCCTCCTTCCTAAACACTTTCCCACTTATGCCACCTATCAGGAGCAGATTTAAGTTTTCTCTGTCTGGCTGCAGGTTATAAAGGCACCTATAGGCAGTTATTCAACAGTTTTTATTCTTCCAAATGGGATCAAAGTCTAACAGGGATAATTCCTCCAAGCTCTGGGCTTTATCTTCTGAGCAGTGCAGAGTGACAAGAAGAAGCTGTATTTTATCCCGTGCTCCGTCACTGGTCCCCCCCCCAACCCCATCCAGTATTGTACCGCTTGATTGTACTCTTATGAGTCACAGAACCGCACCTGCGCCCATGTGTTAAGTACTGACAAATAAAAGCCCAGCGTCCATTTACACAACAAAGAGATGTAACCCGTGAGGCAGCCATTCTTTACCTCCCTCCCTCCGCCTGACAAGACCTCAAATATATCACTTAGTTAAGAAGAAGGCAGCTCACGTTCCTGCCTCAGCCGGGGACTGCGCCTCTCCCCTCACGCTCCGGCAAACTTCTTTTCAAATACAAATCCAGAAACAAAACACACGCCACCCTTTTTTATTTTTTGTTCTCTTTCTTCCATATTTAATTTCAGAGTTACAGCAGTAGACGTAGACGATTATCAAAGCCCTGAAAAGCAAATCCGGTCTCAGACTCCCTCACCCACCCCGCAAAAAAAAAAGAAAAAGGCTGTCATTGTTCAGGGGGAAAAAAGAAGATTTTGGTGAACCAGTTGCTTCTTATTAAAAAAATAGAAACAAAATTGTCTTCTGCCAGTTCTAGAAATTAAAGGCAATGTTTAAAAAAAAACTTTACCAATCCACCGGGGTTTTAACGACGAACATCTGACTTACTGATTTATGCATATTAATGAACTCAAACACCCCCTGTCTCTGCGAATACAAGCTGAGCTCCACACTTCTCTGCATCCTAATGGTTTCTGCTCCACCGGGATCATTACCAATAGAAATTTCAGATCTTCAGTGCTATTAATCTCTGTCTGTCCTCCTGTTCAGCCACGTAATGACTAATTAAACATCAAAAGAGCAGAGCCGGGGATCCGCTCTGACAGCTTCTCTTTCTCCCAGGAGAGCCTGAGAGGAGGCTAGCCTGTGACAGGGCAGCCCGGAAAATCAATCACCCCAAGGTCCACACACACACACACACACACACACACACACACACACNCACACACACACACACACACACACACACACACACACACACACACACACACACACACACACACACACACACACACACACACACACACACACAGAGAGTCGCACGTTCACACAAAACAGTAAAAACACAAAAAGACGTACCCCACCGAGACCTTTACCTGCTAACATTAAACAACAACAATGTAAACAACCAACATCACAGCTTTGTAAACCAACAGAACCCAGCGGTGTCACTGCCGAACAGATCACACAAAAACAACTGATTTTTTCCATCCAAGAACTGGAGCGTGTGTGTGTCAAGACTGTGTTCTGTGTGCACAGAAGTGAGGAGAAAAGTGTGTGTGTTTGTTTGGGTAAGCTCACTGTGAAATCTATTTATGTGAAAGGTAGATGATCTTCCACTCACAGATGAAGGCAGGCCAGGGGGGACCTTGCGAACTTTTTTTGTTTGTAGTGGATCTGTGAAGAGATGAAAGCATGTCTATTCATTCAAAAGCAAAATAAATAAATAAATAAATAAATAAATAAATAAATAAATAAATAAATAAATAACAAGAAGCAGCCGTAGGGCAAGGCAGAACCCACAAACAAAATTAATTTGGTGATTGAGCAAAATATGAGGAGTAACATGTTTAAATATACAGTGCACATTATAACTATTTCTTATTTCTTTATATTCTACGTACAAGAACTTTGCTGTTATTTTCAAAAAGGTTTTAAAGTGATAAAGCTCATCTGTGAATCATTCAAGCATTAAAACATTTTTTAAAAAGACAAACCTGTATTAACTTTAGACTGTGTTTGACTTGACATTCTTTAGGCTGTATTTTTAGTGAGCGATGTGTTGCAAAGACACAATTTGTTCCAATTTCTTACGTAGTATCGCCAAAAAAAACAAGCAGTCGTTGACAAGCATGAAATGTAATTATTAGCCATAAATGTGGCATATTTTAATATGATGTGCAGTTTGTCCTTAAAAAAGGAGAAAACTGGACAAGTGGAGGACAAGTGTCAAGTCTGAAAGTATCTACAGAAGATGAAAAATATCTGAAAGTCATGTTCTTAGGAATAAGATTGTAGCTAAAGTTGATGACATTAGAAAATGAATCATGCTGCAGTTACCCCATACATTAAATAAAGTTAAGTTCATGATAAATAACTAAAAGAAACAACCTTGTTGGTGCAAAAATACAATCTTCTACACAGTTTATTTATTTTAAAATAGGCTTTTTATGGGGAGATCACTGACTGAAACGTTTCTGCCTGACTGGGATGGCTGAAGACTTTTGCACACTGCCATAAATTCACTCTAAAACACTGTGTATCAATAAATATTTTATTGTTTACTCACCTCAGATACTAAATAACAATAAACCAATATTTCTTAAAAGTTAGAGTCTTAAACTGAGCATTTACCACTTGGTATAATGAAACCTGACCTACTTCGGTAACACTGCAGCAACTTAAAGTATTATTGTATAAGCTACTTTTTGTCCTTATATGGGGCTTTTTAGAGCTCTTTTCTTACAGAGATTAGGACAGCACTGACCAACTGGTGGAGGATCTTGTAGAGAACGTCTTCTGGGATTGGCTGCGTTGAAGGAATAGAACGGAGCCGAGGATTTCCCCGATGCTGCAGAACTAGGACTCGTTAACCCAACGTCGGGCCTTATAGACGGCTAAAACACAGGGAACATTTTTTTTAGTTCAGATTATGCACAATAGTATAATCAGATGGTAGTTTGACAGCATAGCAATGCATTCTGTAAATATGTTATTTTACAATTACCTTAAACATAATGCATTTGTAAAAAGAATGCCAGAAATGACAGTGAGGGGTCTATAAATTACAAAAACTTGTGCAAATTAAAACCCATTTTGTTGATGCATGATAAGCAGACTGCACCAGCTTCTAAAAGACCACCTTGTTATCCTGTCACCAACCATTTATTTGATCCCTACAGCCTCGACAAATTGGGTTAAGCAGCCAATTAAGAGCTTGGTCTAACTCTAGAGTAATCTGCTGTAGAGACCAAGGATCATGTGAGTACTCAAAGTGATTCGTAGTACTTGGCAGAAGAACTTGCTATACATGCCCTGTTGGATTCCCCACTGCCAGCTGAGGATTAACACAGTGACCACTGAGAGGCAGCTTTTAATTTGTCCAGGTGAAAACACTTCTAAATAAACTCATTATGGTGTAAATATCCACGTTTTACAAACACAGCAAAGTCCGTTTTACTGCTGCTTTTGTCTATGATTCTGAATTTTTACAGTTCATCTAAGTCTACTGTCTTGTAATGTAAATTTTGATGTTTGTAATTATTTTGTAAGTTTCTATAAATGAACAAATGTTCAAAAATGTAAGTATCAATAAATACCTATCCTAAAATTTTCTCTACATTTACTCAAAATCATTTGGTTCTCTATACACTGAGATTAGTAAATCCAAATCCTTTTTTTTATGTAAACTTGTAAAAATATATTATCTCTACCTTCCAAACAAATACCAGGAAGATTAGTGTTTTGTTCCCAGTTTTTACCTGAGGCCCCCAAACTACAGCTGGATTAGTGAATTTGTTGTTGTGCAACAGTTCCTTATTTGCACACACACACACACACACACACACACACACACACACACACACACAC